TCACGCCTGTAATCCCAGCACTTTGGGAGGCCGAGGCGGGTGGATCATGAGGTCAGGAGATCGAGACCATCCTGGCTAACACGGTGAAACTCCGTCTCTACTAAAAAATACAAAAAAATTAGCCGGGCGTTGCGGTGGTCACCGGTAGTCCCAGCTACTCTGGAGGCTGAGACAGAAGAATGGCATGAACCCGGGAGGCACAGCTTGCAGTGAGCCAAGATCACGCCACTGCACTTCAGCCTGGGCGACAGAGCGAGACTCCGTCTCAAAAAATAATAATAATCTGTTCTGTTTGTGATTTATTAAGAGGTCCTAAAAGGTGGGCCTGAAAAGCATCTGTTGAAGTTAATGGCTTTAAGGACACTCTTGCTGGAGCAGTCTCAGTGGAGTAGTGGGGTGGGAGCTCCAAGGATATGGGTTAATAAGTGGATGAAAGGTGAGGTAATGAAAAGAGTGATTTCTCTATCAGGAATGTTGCTGTGAAGGGCAAGAAAGAGAACAGCTGGATGAGACTTAGGGTTAGATGACAGTTGCTTTTTTTTTTTTTTAAGTTAGAGGAGATTAAATATTATTGGTGTTTTGCTAGAAAACACAGGCTGAAGATACAGGAGACAGATGGGGTACCTGGGGGACCACTATCTCTCTGAGAAGGCAGGAGGGGGTTGGGAGCCGGCACACATTTTCCTTCCTATAACGGAAGGAAATAGCCTTTGACAGAAGAAGGGACACTTCCTTTGTTGCAGCAAGAGAGAGAGAGAGGATGTGGCAGCACAAGCAGGTGTGTTAGACTTGGGGGAGTGACCTATTTCTTGTCTAATACAGTTGATATTTACTACCCAGGATAAACTAGGTAGCTTCTGTAGAAAATATGCTTAGCATTCAGACTTTAAAGACCGCTGATATAGAGAGAGCTCTGGGGTCTGTTAAGGAAAAATAGCAAGTGCAGATCACAATATATAGCTGTTACCTTCTGTGTAAGAAAGGAGAAGAAATACGAAGATTATTTTGATTTTTGTACCATGTAAATGTGTTATTTAGCCAAAGATAAAATCTAAAAAAAAATGAAACCCAGAAGCAACACAGAGCAAAGAGAACAATAAGACATGTTTGCAAAATTATATGTGTAATCATCTCTTTTGGAAAGTGCATTTCTGTTACTGTATTTTAATTCCAAGTGCACACACCTGATATGTGAGTATTAACGTTAGTGGCTTATGAAATTTATTCCAGTGTTTTGCAGAATGTTTGCTCTTTGTTGGACACTAACAAGGCATATCCAACTTCTTTCACAAAGAGGCTGACTTCTGGTTTGAGGTCAGTGGATACCTGATATCCCCACTGCGAAGCCCTTTTGTGGATCCTGCACTCTAATGGGGTCTAATGGCTTCTCCGTGGTAGAAACACAGAGGGGAACAAGACAGATAAACCATCTTTTTCTTCCTTGTTTTCTTTTTTTCTTCTTTCTTTCTTTTTTTTTTTTTTAAGCAGAGAAGACAGCCTGTAAATGACTAAGTGTTTATTTTTTAAATATGAAAGTATGTTACTTGGGAATCAAGCCAAGCCCAAGGAATCAGGGAAAACTTTCTTGAAGAACTGATCTTCAAACCAAGCTCTGAAGGTGGCAAGAGGCAAGGAGGGTGGGGAGACAGTGGAGAGAATGTCATGGAGAGCTGGGGGG